TGACAATTTAAAAAATTAGGCTTTTAAGGATTACATAAAATTTTAATTTTGAAGATGTCTTCCCTTTTATCGTTTTTAATACTGAAAAGTTTCTTGTCCGATCACATTTAGGCTATGACTTCACATTTGGAAAAAAAAGTCTTTGTTGTCATTTGCAGTTCCTTATTTTTTTTTTCCTAAAAAATTCTGGCGTATGCTCTTAATACAAAATATTTTAATATAAATTTTTTTTTTGCCGTTATAAAAAACATAACAATTTATAAAATAACGATTTTAACCTTTAAAGGGTTAAAAAATAAAATTTTTCGGAACATTTGCAAAAAAAAAAATTTAAAAACAAAACACCAAAGTTGAGAACAAAAATTAAGCGTGCAAAAGTTTTGTCCTGTGTATTTGGAGAAAAAAAAAATTTAAATAAAAATTATGAATTCTTTTGGTTTTTTTTGGTTTTGTTTTTTATTATGATTTTTTTCCGTATAACTTTTAATTTCCCAATTTCCAAAACAGGTTTCGTAATTTTTTCCTTCTAAAATTTGCTTTTAACATTCAATAATTAATTTTATATTCGAATTTAAAAACCAAACAACTAAAAAAAATAGCCCTTGCTTTATAAATTATTGTTAAACTAAACTATTCATCCCGTCCTTCCACTTTTTTATACATATAATATTATATGAACATATGATATATGTCTTCCCCCAAAATTTGAAAAATAAAGGCTAAAATAAAAAGTGAACATTCCTGTTTGTCTTGCTAGCCAGAAGTTTTACTTCTTGTTATTCCCATTCTTTCTATGATATTTTTTTTATAAAAAATGTATCTTTTTTACTATCTACCACACTTATTATTCATCACACTTATTATTCACCACACTTATTATTCACCACACCTATTATTCCACCACACTTACTATTCCACCACAGTGCTTATTATTAATCAGCAAGTACTGCCAAAAATTCAAATGAAATGAATAGCAATACAAAATGCATGAAAGTAAAAAAAAATATGACATTATCAAACATTTTAATAAATCTTTCCTACTTCATTTTTAATTGAACATTGATGTTTGAAAAATATCATCACTTCTTTAAAAATTTTTTATTTAATTTTAAAGAACACGCATTTAACCAACAGCGGTAAAATAACCTAAAATCCTATTTTACCAGTGGTGGATGTTTTTAATATCATTTATTTTCGCGTGTGTCTGATATTAGAAGCAAAATACTGAACACCTGATTTTGCCTTTTTGCTGTTGTTCTGATGGGAACTCGTAGGAAATTATCAGCTTCTGGTGTTGACCGATTCCGTTCTGTTTTTACAATCACACGGAAATAGAATTTTAACAAAATTTTACTTAAAACCAATTTTGTTTATTACACATTTCATATGTCCAACTTTTTACAACATAATTCATTGGTTTCATTAAAATATTTTAAAAATAATTTAGAAAATTAAACCTTGTTTTTAGTTTCAAGATTTTAAATTTCTAGTTGAAATCTCAAAATTATGTTTTTTTTATTAAAAACCATTATTAAATATTTTAGTAACGTATACACATACATACATGATATAATAATATACACAAAGTACATCCCTGGTGTAAAACAACATAAACTAAATAAAACATGTGTACATTGTTTATGTATGCACCTGTTTGTGTGAACATATTTGAATTAAAACCTCAACATAATACAGTTATGCAATTTTTTTTGACTCTTTTGAAATCTCCAATAACAAAAAAATTAGTTACATGTATGTATGTATATAAAATATGTTTGTAATTATTATGTATGCCTTTGAAACGTACGTTTATATAGAAACAATGTAAGAACAAACGAAAAATATTTTGTTTTTGAATTTACTTTTCCTCTGATTTAACCACATAAATAAACGCCAAGTCCTATGCGTCAAAAAATTTTGTTTGAAAAGAAAGGTAAAAGCTACATTACATTATTATATAAAGGTATAAATTCACGTCCATACATAGGCTATAATACCATATAGTTCAGTTGACAGTTGTACCTAACCTACATAAGTATTGTATTTACATACATATGTGTATGTGTGTATAGTTTTTGTAATTTTAATTTCTCATATATTTTTGGACAGATTTGTGGTTACAGGGCCTTTACCCACATGCATAATATAATATGTATGACAGGGAATCTATATACCCTTTTTCCTTTAATTTTTTTTTTTATTTTTTCTTTATTATTGGAATCGTGTTTTTTTTTTTTTGCTCCCTTATCTCTTTTGTACCCGTTCCAATTCCTGTTTTTTTTTGCTTTTTCTGTAGGTATTTTTGTGCACCCGCTATCTCATATTGGTTGAATGTTTTAAATGTAAAATTTTTTGTTTGTATTTTTTTTGTTCTTAATTTCACTACTCAACCACACTAAGTCCTTTTTTTGTTTAAAATTCAGTTATACTTACAACCATACCTATGTAAACTCATATAAAAAAAAAATGTTACTCCTTGTTCTCTCTTTTTTAATCGCCAAAACATAAAAAAAAAGCAGGGAAGTTTTTCATTTTTGCTTAAAAAGCTGAAAAATAAACGGGCCAAAAATATATGAAAACTCTTAAAGGACAAACAGATTTGTGTTGAAAAACACATTTAGCAAAAAAGAAAAAACTAAAAAATTACTTTAATTTCACAAATACTTTATATTTTTTTCTGTGCCCCAATATTTACTATCTATGCATAGTATGTTATGTACACATATACTTATTATTACATACCTATTTTGATTTTATGTTATAACTGCTTGCCTACTCTATATTTTGCCTTTTACATTTGCACATATTGCTGTATATACAACAATATGTGCAAATGTAATGTACATTTTACATATGATATAATATATATGTATGTGTCACATGCTCATACATTTGATATATAAAATATAAAAATAAAAAAAAATTAAAATAAAACAAGAATAAAAAATAAAATCCCCAGAAATGGAACACCGCTTAAGGTAAGACACATAATATGTTTAAATATATGCACAAATACTATTCTGGTTATATTCAATTATAATATTATATATATACTATATTATAAAAACAAAATATGTATTAAATTTATATAGGAACTATAATGCTCATGTATAAAATATATAGGAATAAAAAAGAATTAAAAATTAAAATAAAAATTATAAAATTAAAAAAAACCAAACACAAACACAAATAATATTTTAACTATTCCAATATAGTATAAATATGAGTAAAATATTATTTATTACTCTTAACTACTAACACTGTACATATAGATATATTGATTAACAAATAAGCGTATAACAAAATTTTACACATTATTTCTAATTTCTTTTTAGAAAAACAACTTTTCACGAATTTATTAATCATACCCCTGTAGCTCAGTTTATAGGGCGTCCACCTAGAAAGCGGTAGATCACTGGTTCGAGACCAGTTCGAGGACAAATAAATTTTTTTTGATTTTTTTGCATTGACTGGGTTTTTTGATCACGCTACTTATTTGTTTCCACAGGAACTTTAGATACATCTTACACAGTTGTTGATTAAATTTGCGTTTACAGTTCTGATTGCGAGAGATCTTATTAGTCAAAACTGCACCACAATAAAACTACAGAAACAGCCCTTCCAACAAAAATTCTAGCTTCAAAAAATTTGATTTACATATATTATAAAATATACGCAACAAATATACTTAAAAAAAAATTATATTATTACAATCAGTATGAAGTTTAATTTTCCGATCTCCGAAATCAAGCTGGAAAATTATATGTAAAGTAGTTATAATTCTCTAAAAATAATTTCAAACATTTAATCCAGGAACAGATTAAAAATTATATTATAGTTCATTTATATACTCATATCTTTAAAATTTTATTATCTTTATCAAAGAAATGTGTATCACAAATTATAACAATATATCAGTATATTTAAAGTATACGTTTACTCTCCAACGCAAGTTCCTATATATAATTAAATATAATTAAATATTTTTATATAAATAATCCTAAATAAGATTATTTTTCAATAAGCAAAACTATTTTTTCACTGAATAGCTTATATTTTTATTTTTATTTATCATATTTATTTTTTAATTTAATAAATAATAAATTTATAATTATCTTTTATAAGAAAATTATAAATAAATCAGCACAGATTTCATTATTCTCATCAAATACGTATATATTTAATATAAAAAAAAAAAAAACAAAAAAAGACTAATATTCATAATAAATTTATTATTCATACATACAAACATACATTAATAAAAATACCATACATAAATATATTTTTTGTTAAAACTTCATTTTTTTATTGTTTTCTTCCAACACAAAACAAAAAATTCAATTCATTTAAGATGGAAAAAAAAAACAAAAATCAAAATGAATCAAAAACGAATTTTTTTTATTTCATTGGCCGTCAATAATGAATAATAAAAATCTAGAAAAAAATCAAAATTTTTCCTTTTCATTTCAATTTTTCTTACAATCAATCTTAACCCAAAAGAGCAAATAATCACATAAACAAATAATAAAATGCAGAGGAAAGACAAGAAACGGAAAAAAGGAGGAAAAAAACAAATCCTTAATTAAGAAATATTTTCTATTTCTATTATAGGATCAAATCAATCTCCTTAAGAAGCAAGCACACATCACATCAAAATTAAAACTCATCATCTCATCATTTAAAAGAAAACAGAAAAGGAAAGCCTTAACATATTTTTTTTCTTCTTTAAGATCGCTTATATTATTCTCTATAATCACTATGCACACAGACATATCGTGCATAAAAATTTGTATATACGTTATTATAATAAAAATAAATAAATTAAAAACCAAATAAATACATAAAACATACATTTATACGAGTATAAGAATACAACATACAAAATGTGTGTAGTATGAACATGTGTAATTTTTATATTTTTTCCCTATTTTATCCCTTTTTTTTGTTGTTGTTGTTGTTTCAATATTGCTCATTTATTGTTTATTTTATTTAATTTATAGGCCGATTTATCATGCCGTAATACAAAACAATCAGTTGGGTCAATTTTCACACGAACAAATTTCGTAACATTAAAATATGTCACCGATAATTGGGGTACTGATGCAAATGGTTTCAAGTTAGTTATAACAGCAGTCAAGGATTCAAGTAATTATATAATCATTTATTATATTATTTTAATGTTATTCTTAACCTAATACATAATTATATACATATATAATATGATTTAAGGTACAATACAAAATTTAATTAAAATTTTCTCTTTTATTTCTTATCTTTTTTTTTTTTTTAGAACATTCTTGTAAAGATTTTCGTTGTGAATATCGTGATTTTTGTATTCATCCAGATTTAGTTTGCGATAATGTTAATCATTGTGGCGATAATTCTGATGAATCAGCTAGCAATTTATGCCAAAGTAAATATTAAAAAAAAAAAAATGTAAAAATTTTTACTTTTTTTATCATTTAATTTTTTGTTTTTAGATCAAGAACAAACAACGCTACTTGGTCTTGAATTAACTTGGTTTGTTTTAATTGCTGTCAGTAGTTTATTAGTTATATGCGCATGTATAGTTGGTTGGACAATTTGTTTATGTCGACGAACACCAAGAAATCAAAATCAGAATTCAATACAACGTAATTATAAATTAATCAATATAATTTTGTTATAAAAGAAAATACTAATTTTTTTTTTCTTTTAAATCTATTTTTATAAATTGATTTATATAATAGTTCGACATACAGCCGAAACAAATGGTTCATCGAAACATTTACATGGAACATTACCACGTGAACATACAGCACTGCCACCGATTTCGGGAAACTTGTATCACCCTGCGGGACCATTAGGGTACCTCCGCATTCAACACAAATTATTGATGATGGCCAAAGTCCGTCCCATTTGGTATCTAATAAATTTAGGCAATTAGGTCCTGATTTATCACAAACAACAACAACAACAACAGCATCAGCTAATTCGAATGCTCAAAAAGATGAATGGTTCGTTTAATTTGAAGTTTATTGAGATATAGAAAAATAAATGCATACATACATAATATATATGAACGGAGAAAAAAAATATATATGATTAATTAAAATTTACCAATAAATTTAAAAAAAAAAATTATTATATACTTTCCATATATAATATTTTTGTCATAATAACATAATATTAAAATTATATTAATGAAGACGTAAATAATATACTCAAAAAAAAAGACTTAAATTAATATTTCTTTATCAATTAAATTATACTCAAAAGTACGATACTTACTTATAAGAAATAAAATTAATTAATCGGAAATTTTAAAAGAAATCTGAGATAATTACAGTTTCACAGTTAAAAAAAATATTTAAAGCATTCATTCTCCCAAAAATTTAAAAAACAGTTAACGAAATAAGTATTAAAACATGAAGTCTTTTCCAAAATTATATTCAATAAAATGTTTTCTAAAATTTTCAACAAATATTATTTTCTCTTAAAAATTATTAAAATCAAACAAAAAATTTAAAAAAAAATTCTTTTAAAAATGGAAAATGTTTTCCCGAACTCGACATAAGCCGAATATAATTGACATTTTTTTATAAAATTAATTTAAGTTTTTCTTAGAATGAGCAAAGCAATAAACATTTTAAATTTAAACAATAAATTGATAAAAACAAAAAAATTCATGTAGTTGGAAATTATTTTTTCTTCATTATTAAAATTCTAATTTTTAAATAAATTTTTGGGTAATTCAATCAAAACATAATAGCAACAATGCAAAATCAATAATAATTTTAAATAAATTAAATAATTCAACAAACTGTTTGCAAAACAAAAAAGAAAAATATCAAAGGAGGAAAAACAATATTTACAGTATTCAAAAAGGTACGTATATATACAATTATTTGCAAATATTTAACATATTATATAAAATGTATAAAAAATCATTTATTTCTTAAATATATGTATGTACATATTTCATTACCAAAATATTATACGATGTTATTAAATTATATGTATACAAAATAATATTTTGAAGATTATGTACATAATTATAATTGGACTTAAAATTTAATAATTCACCACAATGACACAATTCTTTTGGTTTATGAGCAAGCCTAAATTTTATATAATTTTGTAATACTAACATAAAAAATTTAATTGACATATTTCCTCAGATATTCAAATATCGTGTTATAATATAACTTCATAAAATTATTAAAAAAAATTGAAAGTAAAAGTGAGAATTTTACAAATTTTAAAATTGATTATAAAACTAATAGCAAAGTTAACTCAAATATTTTTTAATTACTTTAAGTAATTAACTATACACCCTACAGATAGTTAAATATTTAAATAAACTACAATAACAATATTTTGCTTCATTGTATACATGTTTTCACTAATTTTAATGGCCATATATAATAATGGCAAAATATATATATATATTTTTTAATTACATTACTCAATCAATTAAATTTTAAAACAAAAATTTATGATAATATCTATATACAAGCAATTTATAAATTAATAATAACAATAATACATTTTATATATTGCAATAACAAATTAATAAAACAATATTATTCAACATATGTATAAATAAAATAATAATAAAATATTTTAATTTTTCAGAATTCATGAAGTCTTCATTAAAAAAACAACAAACCAGAAAACCGCTTCAATATTTCTCAAAAACGATATTCGATTTAAAACGTAACATAAATTCGAAATTACAAAAAACAAAAACATTTGAATTATTATATAACAAAATAACAATATATATATATATATAATTCGTATGTATATCGAATATATATATATATATATATGTATTTGAATAAAGAAACCAAATAAAATACAAAAAATCATCAATAATTTTGTAGAATTAGAAATATTTATAAAAACAAAATAATAATAAAAAAAAAAATTAATTATACAATTAATAAAATAAAAAAATTAAAATTTAACATCATATCAACGAACGTTTTTTAAAAATATTTTGACCACGCAGGGTGTATTATTATTTTTGAGAGATTTTACTATAATAGTAATTTGTGTACCCAAAATAACAACTAATTTATACTAACTGTTATAAAACTGTAAAATAAAACAAAACAAAAAAAAAACAGTTAGGTCTCTCAATAAGATGGTAATCGGATAACCATCATTACTTTTTTGTAAATATATAAAATTAACATGTAACTGTAAATGTATATGTATATTAATAAATCAACATATTTTATTAATTATTATAAAAATATTATTATTACTCATGCATACATATAGTATATACACATCTATACATTTACATCATAAAATATCTTTTTAAAAATAAAATTATAACATTAAGAAAAAATTATTAGAGAAAAATAAATATAATATATATATACATATTTCTTTTTTTTTTTGATCTATTATTTTTAAAAAAAAGAAGAAATTACATACTATTAGACATTAATTGAATTTAGAATAAAAAGCAAAAAAAAAATTAATTAATTAAAATTGGTTATAAAATTTTAAAATTTAGAAATTAATTATTATTATCACAGAAAACAAAAATATCAAATTGAAATAAAATGCAAATGTATAGATTTTGTCATTAATTATATGAGATTAATTTTCTTAAAATAATTTTGTTTTCTTTTTTACAAAATACTACAAAATTTTAATAATTTTTATTTTTCATTAAAATTCCTTTCTTATTTTTACTTTTATGTCATAAAACTATATAATGTATATTATTTATTTGCAATAGAACTCAATTTTTTTTTTGGTTATCCAAATAAATGAACTCAATTTCATATTGATTTGAATGCAGATCATTTATTAATTGCATTATACTTCTGCTAACATTCTGCTAACATCAAATGTTATTTCAACGAACTTAACAGATTTAATCTGAATTCAAAAATTTGTTGATCAATCGTTTCCATTTCTCATCGTTATCGTCAATACCTACAATATATAAAAATAATTTTATTATATTAAAAATTATTTATATTCTTGATAAGAGATAAACAAAATAAAAATACAAAAATAACCAAAATAAATGTTAATTGCAATCAAAAAAAAATATTCCCATAATGGTTAGAAAATCAATTCAGTTCAAATAATATTTTCAAATGTAGGTAAATATAAAAATCAAAACTACCATTACAAAATATACAAATTAAAATTAATTATAAACGAGTTCAATTGTAATTTTTAATAATTTAAAATCATTTTGTAATATCATTTAATTATGAAATATATTTATTATACATATTATATTTCTTATATTATTTCTTATGTATTGTAGATTATTATATTAGATTAATAAAAAACAATATTAGTAAATAGTTAATATAGTAAAAATAATATCGTAAAAAATAAATTATCATGTACATCTACAGACGGATCATAAAACTTTTATAATGTAATAATGAGAGAAAAAAATTTAAAAATTCTCTTTTTCAAAAAAAAAACACATTGTTCATCATTAAATAATAAATATTAACGTAAAAAATGTAAAAATGAAATGAAAAACGAAAAAAAAAATTGTTATTTAAATAAATTTTTTTTTTTTTTTAACTAAACAATATAAAATTGTAACACTGTTGATCTGTCTAAATATAATTATAAAAAATAAATTAATTATAGTAAAAATTTACTAAAATAAATATATAGTGAATTAAAAAAAAATTCTTTTTTTTTGATATTATATAAAAAAAAAAATTAATACATTAATTTGGAAACAAATATAGAAAAGAAAACATAAACTATATAGAAAAAAAAAAGATTAGTATATAAAATAATAAAAAATCTTATAAAAATAGAAGAAAGAAAAAAAATTCAGTTAATATTAAAAATTATAATAAAAATCAAAGCGAAAAAAACAAAAAAAAAACACTATAAGTGTTTATAAATCCAAAAATCATTTAAAAATTAAAAAAAAAATTAATATAGAAAATTATGTATATATATATATGTATGTATATACATATATACACTCATATATAAAGTACTTTTTCTGAAAAATTTATTAAATATTATTAAATATTAAAAATTTATATAGCAAAAACAAGTAAAAAATAAAATTAAATTTAATATACAAAAACAAAAAATCATAGCATTTAATAGAAGTTGATAATGAATTGAAAAAAATAATGAAGAAAATAAACTATCAAAAATTAATAAAAAACAAAAAAAAAGCATAAAAAAAATTTAATTATTATTAGAATAAATTAATTTAATAAAAAAAAAAGCAAAAAATATATATATATAATACAATAATATCAATAAATACAAAAATAAAACCTAAATGTTAAATATGAAAAGAAGACAAACAAACAAAGATTAATATTACAACAATATTAATAAATAAGAGCAAAAAGAAATATCAAGTATTGGAAATTTAGATGAAAAGAAAAAAAAAATAATATTAAAATAGTATGAGATTAATATTAAATAATAATTAATAATAACAAAAATTTTAAACTTATAAAAAAGTAAAATAAAAATTATTAAAAAAATTTAATTTAATTTGCAAGAAAAGAACAAGTTTACAAGTTTATATAAAATCAATATAAAAATTCTATATCAAAAATTAAAAAAAAAAAAAAAGGAAAATCTCTATATTGCTTTTTCAAAAAGAAGAACAAAACTAATAATAATAATAATGATAATGTATAAAAATAAAAATATTGATTAAAATATAAAATTATGTAATTTTGAAAAATAAAAATTTTGGAAATAAACAAAAAAAAAAAATTAACTTAAAATTCTTACAGAATAAAAGACACAAGAAAAAAAGAAAAAAATTTGAAAACTTTTTAGAAAATTTTTAACTCGAATGAATAGCTAAATTTTTTTTTACATGAGTTTTATTAAATTCATTTAAAGAGAATTTTTAAATACTTAATATTTAATTTTTTGTTTTAAAACCCAAACCGAGACTTCATCAAAAGATTTTCCAATTTTAAATAAAATATTTTCAAATTCATGATGTGTGAATTTTCTTTCCAAATCTGAAATATAAGATCTTAACATCCAAAAAAGATTTTTCACTTATTAAAATTTATTCACTTATTATCTATAAATTTTAAGATCTTACAATTAATATTCTTTAATTTAAATGAGAAGCGCGCAGTGTAGCAGTATTTTGGGATTTTTGGGAATAATTTAGAACTATGTATTTTAAAATTTTTAAAATGTGAAATAGAGGAAATACTTAAGTATTCATAATAAAATTTATTTCATACCAGTTTTCTTGTTTAATATTACCATTTTATTTATTTAATAAATTCTCTTTTTGAAAATTAAAAAAAAAACTTAAATGATGAAAAAAAAAAACAAACAAAAACAAATTCTTTAGAACAAAAAATTTCATTA